TTATTTGAACCGAAGACCAATCCCAGTTACGCCGTCCTATCATACATCAAACGACTAACAGAACCTCTTAGACGCATTCTGAAACATCACGACATCCGAGTAACTACGAAACCTCTCCGCACACTAGAACAACTTCCCTCAACAAAAGACCGACCACTACCCGAGAACCAGACGAACGTAGTCTATCAAATTAATTGTTCAGATTGCTCGTGGAGTTACATAACAAGAAGAAAAGAGCACGAACGAAACGTTATAAAGTGCAAGAGTGGCTCTAATATCGCGAAACATGCGTGGGCAAACGACCACAGAATTGATTTTAAAAACGGGAAAGTAATTGACAAGGGAAGCTATCGACACAGATCGACATTAGAGTCTTGGCACACTGCATGCACGAAAGGCGCTGATAACAATTCAAAACATTTGCCAGAACAATATTGCTTTTTGCTCAAAAAAACTATAAAATTCTGCACAATATATAATTAGTCACCAATCTTTTACGTAGGCGGAACGGTCAGTAATTGTCTTCTATGTCAGTAAATGAAATTGTAAATCGCTATTGTATAGCACTATTCACTTTGTATCATATCTTATACCACTAGCACATTATTAATCTACCCGTCGAAGACTGCAGACTGGCAGTCAAAAGCTCGTAATAAATAAATCTTTTTAACCAGAGAACGTTTACACAATTAATTATGAATCCTGGTTTCGCTTCCAACATTTTTAAACATAAAGTAATTGTTTTATAAAATAACAACAACAAGATGGATGGCCTGATCCAAACACGGGTTTCTGCCAATCAGAGCACGCGTTATGTGTGTATATATATATATATATATATATATATATATATATATATATATATATATATATATATATATATATATATATATATATATATATATATATATATATATATATATATATATATATAACTACGACATGTAGTACGCATGCGTATTCGAGATATGACTTACTTTGTCACTTTTATATATATATATATATATATATATATATATATATATATATATATATATATATATATATATATATATATATATATATATAATTCCAAGATCTTGAATGGACCATTCCTGTCTAATATCAATATTATTATTAACAGAAAGATGTACTGAATACAGTAATAATTTTTTAGTATCAAAGACTTTACTGAAATCCAGGAAAACGCCACAAGAGTAGTTTTTCTTTCCAATTGCTTTTTGTATTTTATCAACAATAGTTAAAACAGCATAGTTTGTGGAATGGCTGGATCTAAAACAAAATTGTTTATTGCATAAAATGTCATTGGATTCAAGGTAACTCATTAATCTGTGATACATTAGTTTTTCCAGTATTTTATGAAAAAATGAAAGGAGAGAAATAGGACGATAAATTGTAACATTATTTCGTGATCCGTTTTTAAAAATATGAATAACTGTTGTAATCTTGAATTTATATGGGAACAATTCCTATGCTAAAGGAATAATTGAATAAAATTTCTAGGGGTTCAGCTAGTAATAAGTTCATATAATTAAATACCATATATACCAACAAATAAAGATGATAAATGTATCATCTTTAGGATATTTGTTGATAATTATATTTTTTATTTCATCACAAGAAGTTGGAGATATGAAAAAGTTTTCCGGATTTCGATAAGAAAGGTAATCAACTGCCAAGTTATTTCCCTTCGGAATTATATTTCCCAGATTTTATCCAATGTTTGCAAAATATTCGTTAAATGCATCAGCTGTTTGTTTGCTATCTTCTAATTGTACACCATTAATCTTTATTTTTAATGGCACTCTAGTATTTTTAGTTTTAGTAGTTATAATCTTCTTTACACCTTGCCACAATTTCTTAGTAGTGTTACAATTATAATTAAAACAGTTATTGTATAAATATTGTTTTTACTTATTCTCATGAGGTGATTTAATTTGTTGCGGTATGTTTTAAATTTAGCGTAATAATAACTAGAAGTGTGTTTTAATAAACTGTTTGTGCAAGCCAATGTTAATTTTGATTGAGACTTTGATAGCTCTTGTTATCCATGGTTTATTTTTAGTTTTTACTTCCTTTTTAAAAAGCTTCCTGATAGGAATATGCTTATTTATAATAGATGTTATTTTAGTATGAAACTTATCAAACATACAGGTATGAGAGTGGGGTTCTTGCCGACTGGGAGCAAGGGTTTCCTCCCAATTAACATCTCTCAACTCTGAGTACATTGTTTCTTGATTGAACCTGGAATAATCTCTTGTAAAGATTTTGTCTTTGTGTGCAGGGTTCGAATTAGACAGAAAAACCGATTCGCTAATTTCATTCTTAAAAATTTGAAGGGAATTTCAGTTTTGAAAAGTGGAAACACTGCTGGCGAAAAACAAAATGGCGGTCGTTTCGTAGCAAATTCGTAAATTTTCTGAAGAAATTGTAGTCATATTCTTTATTTGACACATCTTTTTAGTATAAAAAAAAACAACAATAGTCGGCACAATACTTCATGTCTTACATTATAGTAAAATACATTCGAAGTGATTGTGAAAATCAACCTTTTATGTCTTTTTTTGTAAAACGTCATTCGCAAAATGGATGATCTTGCGTTCGCAAAAAGCGAATTTACATTCGCAAATTGCGAATAACGAGCCACTAATTCGGACACTGGCAGTGGCGTAGCAAGCTTGATAATTGAGGGGGGAGCCCATATTCATATATTCGTGTTCCCAGACCTTTAAAACAATTAATTTCAAAAGAAATTAATAATGCAGAACACGAATATATGAAAATCCCCCCCCCCCCCCAATTGGCGATGTTGTTACGCCACTGAACCCTGGTGAGAATTATAAATAGAGTTTTAATTAGAAGAAAATATGGAAGATGGTCAGAGAGATCATATACGATATTACCACTGATTGATATATGTTCATTTGAATTAAGGAATATATTATCAATTGATGTTGCAGAGTGATCTGTAACTCTTGTAGGTTCCAAAATTTGTGGATGAAAAAATAATGTACATAATGCATTAATAAAATCACCTGTTTCTTGATGGCTATTATATTTAAAAAGGTCTATATTGAAATCCCCCATCATGATACACTTCCTTTCGCTATGAATTTTTTCAACTGTGGAATTTAAATACTTCATAAATTCATTAATATCACATTATAGATGTCGATAAATACACTACATACTGAATTCTTTTGGAATTATTATCAATTTCAATCCACAATGTTTCAAAATTGCTGTTAGTTTTAGTTATGTCATCTCGAATTGAAAAATCCATTTTCTCATTGATATAAAAACACATAACGTCGTAACACGTTGCTTTATTAATTTATATTTCAAAAGCCATATTAAACATTAGTTTATGGTAACTTGAATAAATTAAAACTTTGACCCCACCAACTAATCAAAAATTAATTAAAAAATGCTTATAGTTTCAGCAACATTCAATTATCCATTAACTTGAGTAAGTAAAGTATTAATAATCCATGTGAAGTTGTAGGACTTTCTCTAAGAACTATGCAAGGTTAGTTCTCTAAGTTAACGGACCGATCCAAGAACGTACTAGACCGCCCCCCCCCCAACCCATCCCATCCCACCCGGACCAAAAGAAGACTTGATATAGTACATTATATATACAACGTAGAGATCCAAATTATATTATATAATACCTTATTAAATTCTAATAATTTAATTGGCTGTTTATGGTCACGTGATATTGAATAGAAAATTCCATTTCCCAAGAGTGAAATGGAACACGTTCCATTGCAATCTCCGCGAGTGCAATGGAATAAAACGTATAGTACAATTGCACTCTTTGTGTTTTCGATAAATCGCATCCCTCAAAATGCTTCTCATACGAATCTATTAGTCTATTTTGGTATTATATAAAACAAATAATGAATGTTTCTTCGTGCAAT